TCGTCCAAGGGGGCTTGGATAAGGCATTGGGTTTGCTTAGGCCCTAAGCAAAGGAGCATTAGGGTTTTCCCTAAACCCTAGATCCCTCAGCTATATAAGGAGCCTTCCAGCTCCCAAAATCGGTCACTCCTTCTCTGAAGAAACCCTAGGGCCGAAAATTGCATACTCCCTCTACCCTCTCTCCTCCAAGTTTCATTCTTGCTAGTTCTTGGGTGTGATTCCATTAGAGGCATTACATTTGTGGTGCTAAGCTTCCAATAAGATAAAGATCAAGATCAAGATCAAGAGGATTGTCAATTGTTTGCTATAACAATTGAAAGGTATGTAACTCCTAAAACCTAGTTTATTATATTCGAAAATAGCCTCTCTCCTCTAGGGTTCTTATTTTGCAATCAAAGTTATATGTTCAATAGTTAAAACATAGATCCAAAGTAGGTTGCATGTGAACTTAGGAATTGTTTTCTACTTTATTTGTTTTACCTAAAACCCATCAAGCTTCACCAGTTCAAGGTTTGGTTACTGCATCCAGACCCACTAATTTTGATAGTGCTAAGCAATTAGCCTATCAATTGACTGAGCAGTGTATCCAAATGACCCCACAAACAAAAAAAGAACCAAAGTGGGAGTACGAAATGGAAGTTCCATGGAAAGTCAAAAGGAAACTCCAAGCATCACAAACCTAAGCTAGAACCTGTGGTTGTTTATGACACAATCAAAAACACTCGCACCCCATCAAAGCCCTACTATGGGAAATTACCCCATTGTACCAAGTGCAATTTCCACCATGTCAGAAATTACATGGTCTACAATAACTATAACTTGAAAGGTCACACCTCTAAATTCTGTAGAAAGACCCCAAACAATAAAAAACCAATCACTACTGTGGAAGGAAGCCGTAACTGCTATGAATTCAATCTTTAAGGACTGTCCGAAATTGAAGAATTATGGTGGCCAAGGAAAAGCATGTGTGATTGGTGTTGGAGATGCTTGCCAGGAACCAACTTTGGTTACTAGTACGTTTCCTATCAACAATATTTTTGCTTCCATATTCTTTGATACTGGTGCCGATAGAAGCTTTATTTCCCATACGTTTAGAAGCATAATAAACCATAAATCATGCAAACTTAATGAAGCTTACACAGTAAAAGTAGCAAACGATCAAATAGAAAGCACTTTATAAATACTCACCAAATGGCTTATCACCATGAATACTCATGTCTTTCATGTCAACCTAATGCCTATGAGCATTGGAAGCTTCGATGTGATCATCGGGGTGGATTGGTTATCACTTCATTGAGCGGAGATATTATGTTACAAAAGGTTGTCTGACTACCTTTATGAAACATCCAAAATATGGTCCCAAAAATTTCGTTTTTATAATAGAAGAAATAGTAATTTCAAATATAATCCATACATCTCAACAAAAGTCAATGTATAAAATGTATTAACATCAGAGTAATATCAAATACGGAATCGCCATGGTGTGTGCGGTGCAGTCAACTCGAGCCCTTCCCTTTAGAAACGGAAGTACCTAAAACACAAACTAAAATCCGTAAGCCCAAATCTTAGTGAGTTCCCCAAGATACCACATACCAAACTTATCACATAACGATCCCCACCCAAAGAGATATGGGCCCCTCCCACACTCGTATAACGGGCCTCGCCCAATACGATACTGGTGGTTGTCGAGGCCAACACAAATAATAACCCTAAATATTACACACTAAAATAGTGTATAGTGGTAAAGGGATCGAACCCACGGAGATTGGTTCAATTTATAACTCTATGAAAAATCTCTTTGTAAAAATACTTGTGAAATAACAATAAAAATAAAATGGGGGGGGGGGGGTTTGATGTTTTGAAATACTTGAAACAAACTAGAATTAACTGTGATTTAAATAGACAATTGCAACAAAAATAAGAATTTGATGTAAAATCAATAAGGGAAGGATGGTTGACTTAAAGTTTTCTCACTTTGACTTTTGATGAACATATCATTAGAATCCAATAGTGCAATACTTTGATTTAAATCCTTAATTTGGTTATAGTAATCCAAGGCTTGAGATTACCTAGACTTTTCTTAATTGTTGAAATGGCTAGAGAAGCTCATAAAAATTTCCTTAGTCAAAGTCACTAATTCCAAATAGCATGTAATTAGTGAAAGTCAACTAGCATTAAGAACCAAAAAATACCAAATCCAAGAGGAGTCAATTGCTTTCACCACCATGTTGGAGGAAATGTTTTTATGATTGTGTGAAGCAAAAACAACACAAAAATCACTTGTTGCTTGCTAATTTGAGGATCATTTACTTAATCAAGAAATTAGCCAACTAATCACCACAAACATATTTAAACTCATGAATAAAAACATACTAGTAGTGATAATATGATGAAACACAAAACATTTCCATAAAGATTCAAGAACAAGTTCATAGATTCTTCAACATCCAACAAAAGTTCAAAGGATTCAACAAAAAGTCAACCAAGATTTGTTTAGCCAAGCATGGCTAAACTCAAATGAACAAAGTTAGATAAGATTGTACCAAACATTTGACAAGATTCAAGAGGTGAAAAGAAGATGTTCTTCAAGTGTTCTTGGCCTCCAAAAGTGCTCCAAACTCCAGAGAGAAAAGCTCAAAATCGGACCTCCAAGATTATGCTAAAGAGGCACACCAACCTTCCCAATATAGAGCTCTAAGAAAAATCCCGAAATTGCCCTTGTCAGGAATCCACGCGGGCCGCGGGTACTGACGGGAATTTTTGGGCTTCTTCAAGTCTTGGGCCCCCACAGCTAATCCATTGGCCCAGTTCGAGTCCAATCAGCTTCTAGCCCATTTTTCTTCAATGTTTCTCCAATTTGAGCCCAATTTGTCTTTCCACGTCACTCAAAACTTCCGCAAACTCCCAAATATTGATCTTGCATACTCAAGAATTCTCCCGCATCTTTCAAATTTAAAGCTCAATTCTTCCAAGCCTTCAAGCAATTGACAAGTCCACCCCATGAATCACCTTCATAGCCATCAAGCATGGAATCTCCAATTCCCTTCAAGCCCAATAGCCTCCCAAGAGTGCCGCTCCGCTAGTTTCCAAGAAAAATCTGCAATAATGCTCAAGAAACTAGAAAGTACCCCGAAATGGTCATAAAAATAACAAAAAGGGAAAATATGCATGGAAGTTAACTAAAATGCGAATGAAATGTACTAAAATAAACTATAAAAATAAGTAAATAAAATGAAGCTATCAAATCACCCCAAGCTTAAACCTTACTTGTCCTTAAGTAAGACAAGACTAAATGAACTTGGGATGAACTACCCTAGAAATAAAAAAGAATGGATAGAACCATGGAACCTGTTCAACGTTAGTCAACATGTTCAGAATTGATTTCGCTGCTATCTCACAACCTTTTCATCCGATGACAATGGAACCATAAACCACATCCAGGACAACTCCTTTAGGTGAGTAAGGAGGGATGAGCAGTCGCAGCCTCAATGGAACATGTATACAATGAAGAACATCTGTAGTAGGGAGAAAGCAACTGGATGGGCTCGGGTGGAGCTCTTCTTTAAGTGCACACTCTGATCTCACATTTGCCGGTTTCTCTCATGTGTAACTAGGTTTAATCGCTCGGGCACCGTTGTAGGAATCAGTTCACTTAGTGTTGACCCAAACCTCCCGTAGTATCCGACTCGACAGTCTCTCTAACATCACCAATTTGTGAGAAAGAAAGAAAAAAAAATAACAACTCGATCTATATACAATAAAATAGACCTATACAAATGAATATCAAACGCCGGGTGACCAAGATGTTAGGAAATCTGTACAATAATTGAACCGGCCACCTATCTAAGATAGTTGCAACTGAAAATTTGTGTGCTTCTTTTTGTTTTTTGTTTTTTGTTTTTTGTTTTTTGTTTTTTTTTTTGATGATAAAACCCTTTGACTCAAAATTTGGTTCCCAAAGGTGTGTAGGTGGAACCGAAAGGGTAATGATATAATCCGAATGGCCTAAGTGTGAAAATGACCATGTGTGGAGCATAAAGATGTAATGTAAGCTCATTTTCAACTTGCAGTTTTTCAAAGATAATGAAAATGTCCAAATGTGGACTAATAGACTCTCTAAAATTCTAAGAAAATCGCAAAAAGATATGGTGATGTAGAGAGACCGGATATGGATTCTACTCGGGGACAAGCACCAATGCTTCATCCTAACAGTTCAAACATGATCAAGTGTGATCCTCTCCTCGGTAGTGACCGCAAGGCTAAGAACACCCATTGCTATAGTATATCCTACAGTTGTTAGTATTGTATGCATAATTCTTCATGAAACTACCTGGCCATGATCACTTACCCCTTTAAGCTACCAGCATCTGATCCCAAGTATGAAATCCCAAACTGCAGCTAGTGGTCCCGATTCGATGGGTGAGATAGCAACAAGATCCTGGACCAATAATGATACAATAACTGTGAACCTGTTCCATGGCATCCAAGAGAGGTGAGAATAAACAGACAACAAAAATGCATGAATGCTAATGCCTTAGGCTAAATGTTATGCAAAAATATTAAAGGTGAAAAAGAAGAAAATAAAATCTTTTTGAAATTTTAAATTAAAAAAAAATGAATGAAAATTAGCTTAATACTAAAATGTCATGCAACCTAGCTAAAAATGTATGAAAAAGTAAAAGATAAGGGAAATGCCCCACCCCAAGCTTAAGAACAAGCATTGTCCTCAATGCTTAAGGAAAGGGCGGAAATGACCTAAATCGGTGGGTCGGGCGGCGGGAAATGCCCGTGACGATAATGGTAGTCCCACATATCTTGGACCTGGCGGGAAGTGGGAGGGAAGGAGTGCTCCAATCGTTCAACGCAACTCGCCACATCTTGGATGGCTCTCGTGTTCTCTTGCGTTTGGGTGTCGATACGCTGCACCGTGGAGAACATTGTGGCAAATTGGTCAAAGAAAGTAGGGGGAAATATGGTGGAACTTCGTATCCCCCCTGCTGTTACGGATGAAACTGAGGCTCGACGAACTGCTGTGCAGGCTGAAATTGGGGCTCGGCGAATTGTTGTGCAGGCTGAAATTGGTCATCCTCATCATCTACAGGTGGACGATAGTCTGATGGAATGATCCATTGATCGGGATCGGTCGGTTCAAAACTCCCGATATACTCATGAGGGAGAATGAGGTATGGTTGGTTGTCAAGGATCCACATGGGCCCGACAACCGAATCTCGGATGAGTTGCATTCGGCGAAGTGCGTTGCCGTCAAGACTAGAGGGGCCGAAAGCCTTCTCGAATGGAAGAGTAGAGAGATGAAGTTGAAGCGGTGGCCGGGATGCAATAAGGGTGATTAATCCCCCAATGAAAATGTCTCCTTTGTCCATAGTTGTGAGGTTGTAACACTTGGTGAAGAAAAAGGAAGCAAAATCCGGCCGCGGACCGTTCTCACGAGTCATGCACCAAAGAAAAAATAATTCCGCTTTTGAAATCTGTCCCACTTCGGAGCGGGCGAAAATGGTGCATGTGAGAACTCTATGCGCTAGGCGCAAACATGGGTGAATTATGGAGGAGGCCTTTGACGAAGATGATGAATATTGTGGCTCATTGGTAATTTGTTGCCAAAAGTAATGTTCATTGAAGTTTCCGGGCCATGGGTCTTGTTGGTAATATAGGTTGTCCACGGGAGCACCCATCAAAGCATTCACGATCCGATGTGGTAGAGATCGTTTCTCGCCGAGGATTTGGAAGGTGACGGTTTGGGCTTCCTCCTCGGGATTGAATGTGGTAAGAAATTCCAAGGTGGGTTCAACATAGGTGGCGGCGCGGTTATGGAGGAATTGACCCCACCCGATGTTGTTAAATAACGCTTGGACTCCATCGAGCACCCCAAGACTAGCAAAAGATTCCCTATGGAGGAATTTTGTTGACTTGACTTGACGCTTATTAGAAACGAGAAAATCATAAGTTTTACGATCCTCACGATTCAACAAACGAAACGGGGGATCCTTGGATTTTCCCTTCGATCCTCCTTTAGAGGAAGTTGCTCCCGTCCCCGTTTTTGCGTGCTTGAACATTTATTCGGGACAAAATTTTACCGATAATAACTTTCAACCACAACAAATGCACACAATACCAACAACAAATGGGAAATTGAGGTATGAACAATCAAGTTAAAAGAATGAGATTACCCAATTTCTTAGACCCGGGATGAACTAGTGCCACCAAAATGATTTCGTCAAGACACACCCCAAGCTTGCAATTTTGCTCCGTATTTGATGCTTTAATCGCTAAAACAACCCCACAAACTAGCTTCAAGATGACTTTCCGGCGAATGGAGTAGCGGCACTCGGAATTTGACGGAAATTTTTCGTGAGTTTTTGCGGAAAGATTTGTATGACTAGAAAGCTCTTGATGAGAGAAACAAAACCCCGTGCTCGGATTCTCCAATGGTGGCCGGAGTTGGCCGGAAAATGCGAAAATATGTGGTGGTGGGTGGTGGTGGCGCCCGGAGTTCCGGCCACAGATCGGACCGGAATTTGGGTGGGGTTTGTAGAGGAAGAAAAATGGAGAAGAATGGCGGTGGTTTCGTGAGATTCCGACCGGTAGAACTCCGGGAAAATGGATTTTTGTGAGAAGTGGGTTTAGTGTTCTTGAGCTTCTAGAGAGAAAATGGGGGAATTGGTTAGGTTAGAATGAAGAAGAAGAGTGTTGGAGGTGTTTAATTTGTTCAAAGAGGGTCAAACCCGGTCAATGTTTGGTCAACTCATTAAATCTCTTGGTCAAAGAAGGTCAAGGCAATCAACAGCTCAAAATCCCAATCAAACGACCAACACGCGGGCTGGGCGCAGGCCGCGTGCTGGCCGCGTCTAGCCTGCTCGAATTATTCTGACTTACGCGCGGGTGGAGCTCGGGCCGCGGGTACTGGTTACTCAAAAAAAATCTCCTAGTCTTTTGAAAACCCACGCGGGTGAGGCGCGGGCCGCGTGCTGGCCGCGTGTACTGGACTGAATTTGAGCTTAACCCCACGCGGGCTGGACTCGGGCCGCGGGCTGGCCGCGTCTACTTGCTAGAAAACTTTCTGATCACACACGCGGGCAAGGCTCGGGCCGCGGGTACTTCTGCACATCAAAAATGAGAGTTTTCCAAAACACTTGATTTTTTAAGCCAAAACGATCCCCTTAAGGCCCGGTATTTTTTTTTTTTTTGACAAAATTTGGAGTAAACGGGGAACGTTTGGTGAAATCTTTCAAAAATTTATTTGAATTAAAAAAAATGGTGAAAGCACATTGCTTTCCAAAAATGCCCTTCTTTATCGTCTTTGGCGAGACGTCCTTCTAGCTCTCTTCAACACATCGGGACATCCAAATGGATGACTTCAAGGGCATTAGCATTGAAACCTTCATAGAATGGCTTCAACCGGTGCCCATTGACTTTGAAGGTTTGTCCCGTCTTTTCGCTTTGAATTTCCACCGCCCCATGGTTAAAGGTCTTAATCACAACGAAAGGTCCAATCCATCTTGACCTTAGCTTGCCTGGAAATAACTTCAATCGTGAATGGTATAGTAAGACCCTATGCCCCACCTCAAAATGCTTCCGGGAGATGGACTTGTCGTGGAAGAGCTTTGTTTTCTCCTTGTAAATCCTTGCGTTTTATAGGAGTCATTTCTCAATTATTCTAGCTCCTGAAGTTGAAGTTTCCTATGCCTTCCCGCCTCATCAATGTTGAAATTGCATTGTTTGACCGCCCAAAATGCACGGTGCTCTACCTCGACGGGAAGGTGACATGGCTTTCCAAAGACCAATCTAAACGGGGACATTCCTATCGGGGTCTTGTACGCAGTCCGATAAGCCCATAAAGCATCTTCAAGTCTCAAACTCCAATCCTTCCTTGTTGGATTCACTGTTTTCTCTAGAATGGACTTCACTTCACGATTTGAAACCTCCGCTTGACCATTCGTTTGAGGGTGATAGGCTGTGGAAACACGATGGGTCACGTGGTACTTCTTCAATAGAGCCTCCATCATTTTGTTGCAAAAGTGTGTCCCTCTATCACTAATCAAAGCCCTAGGCACACCAAACCTTGCAAAAACATTAGACTTTAAAAACTCGATAACTGTTTTGGCATCGTCCGATCTTGTGGCTTTTGCTTCAACCCATTTAGAAACATAGTCAACCGCGAGTAAAATGTAAACGTTGCCAAATGAGACGGGAAATGGGCCCATGAAATCGATCCCCCATACGTCAAAAATTCACAAACAAGGATTGGATTTTGGGGCATTTGGTTTTTATGCGAAATGTTTCCCGTCCTTTGGCATCGCTCACAACTTTTGCAAAACATATAACAATCGCGTGACATGGTTGGCCAAAATAATCCACACTCAAGGACTTTTCTCAAAGTCCGGTTAGGTCCAAAGTGTCCCCCACAAGCGAATTCATGGCAGAATTGCAAAATGGATTGGTGCTCTTGTTGGGGTACACATCGCCTAATGATTTGATCGGGACAATGTTTCCACAAATAAGGCTCATCCCACACATAATATTTTGCATCATTTTTCAACTTGTCTTTTTGAGCACGTGTGAATGTGTCGGGATACCTTTTTGTGACCAAAAAGTTAACGATATCGGCATACCAAGGAATAGATTGAGTAAGGGAAAAGAGATGCTCATCCGGAAACTCATCCGCAACGGGAGAGGAGTTTCGTTTGAAGTGATCCGGCTTAGGTGATCGGCCACAAGGTTCTCGCACCCGCTCTTGTCCCGGATTTCCAAGTCAAATTCTTGTAACAGTAGGATCCATCGGATGAGTCTCGGCTTTGCATCTTTCTTTGTCATCAAGTACTTGAGAGCCGCATGATCCGAATACACTATGACTTTGGTGCCAAGTAGATATTGTCGAAACTTCTCCAGAGCAAACACTATGGCCAATAGCTCATTCTCTGTGGTAGAGTAGTTGCTTTGAGCATTGTCTAGTGTTCTTGATGCATAATAGATCACATGGGATGCCCTCCGTTCTTTTGACCCAAGACGGCGCCTATCGCGTAATTGCTTGCATCACACATGATCTCAAAAGGAAGATCCCAATTTGGTGCTTGCATGATGGGAGCGGATGTAAGCAACTCTTTAAGCTTGTCAAAAGCTTCTTTGCACGCCTCGTTGAACTCAAAATCAACCTCCTTTTGCAAGAGCTGGCACATTGGTCTTGTTATCTTTGAAAAATCCTTGATGAACCTTCGGTAGAAACCTGCATGGCCCAAAAAAGAACGAACTTCCCGAACACAAGTCGGGTAAGGTAAGCTTTGAATAACATCAATTTTGGCCTTATCTACCTCAATCCTTTTTTAGACACAATGTGACCCAAAATGAGACCTTGACTCACCATGAAATGACATTTCTCAAAATTCAAAACCAAGTTTGTTTCAATGCATCTTTTTAAAATTTTTGTGAGATTGGTCAAACATTCTTGAAAAGAGTTGCCATATACCGTGAAATCATCCATAAAAACCTCAATTATGTTTTTAACATATTCCGAAAAGATGCTAACCATACAACGTTGGAAAGTGGCCGGGGCATTACACAATCCGAATGGCATTCTACGGTATGCGAAAGTGCCAAATGGACATGTAAAAGTTGTCTTTTCATGGTCCTTCGGTGCCACCGGAATTTGGTGAAAACCAGAGTACCCGTCTAGACAACAATAATGGGATTCCCAGCCAACCTTTCTAACATTTGGTCAATGAAAGGCAATGGGAAATGATCTTTTCGTGTGCTTGCATTGAGTTTGCGGTAGTCAATACATACTCTCCACCCGTTTTGCACATGGGTGGGGACCATTATACCTTTGTTGTTTTCGACCACCGTGATCCCCGTCTTCTTTGGAACGACTTGCACCGGCTCACCCATTTGCTATCCGAGATTGGATAGATCATCCCCGCATCTAGGAGCTTCAAAATCTCTTTCTTGACCACTTCCATCATCGACGGATTCAATCTTCTTTGTGCATCCCGTTTCGGCTTGCATTCATCCTCCATTAAGATTTTGTGCATACAAGTGGAGGGGCTCAATCCCTTGATATCCGCAATCGTCCATCCCATGGCTTCTTTATGCTCCTTCAACACCTTGACGAGTTGTTCTTCTTCAAATTCGGTTAAGTGAGTTGAAATGATAACTGGAAGGGTTTCATTCTTCCCTAAATAGGCATACTTCAAGTGTTGAGGTAAGACCTTCAATTCCAATTCAGGTGGTTGAATAAGGGATGGGGGCAATTTTGTATGAGTTGGGGGCAATTCAACTTGCTCGACTTCTAATCTTGTGGATTTCTTCATCTCCATTTTATTTACTAGCTTCTCAACTTCCGGATCCAAATAATAAAGTTTTAATAGCTCGGATAGCTTTCCACAATCAACC